CCGGTCCCGGCCCCGGTTCGGCCCCGAGCAGGCCCCGGCCCCGGCGCCGGCCCCGACCCGGCCATGAAGTTCCTGTACAAGGAGGAGCACCCGTTCGAGAAGCGCCGCTGCGAGGGCGAGAAGATCCGCAAGAAGTACCCGGACCGAGTCCCGGTGAGGGCGGGGCGGGGAGCGACCCCCTCCCCCCCCACACACACACCCCTTCCCCCGCCCTCCCCCCTCTCGGCGTGGGGACCCCCGGGATACCCCCTGGGAATCCGCCGGGACCGCCGGGAACCCCCTTGGGAAGCGCTGGGAGCCCCCCCCGGGAAAACCCGGAAGCGTCCGGGACCCCCCCGGAACCGACCAGAGACCCCCGGGACCCCCCTTGGGGACCCCCCGGGACCCCCCTGGGACTCACCCGGGAACACCCAGAGCCACCCAGGGACCCCCGTGGAACCGAACAAGGACCCCCCCGACCCGCCTGGAGACCCCCGGGACCCCCCCCCGGGGAATCCATGGAATCGTTTGGGGATCCACCCCCAAAACCTCTCCAGGACCCCCAGAGTACTCTGGAGGCCCCCCGAGACCCCCCCTTGGCGACCCCTAAAACCCCTCTGGGACCGTCCCAAATAATCCTCGAAACCCCCTGGAACCCCCTCCTAAAACCATCCCAAGGATCCCCGAAACTCCCCTGAGACCCCCAAAAGAACCCCCTGGTGGTGACCCCCCTGGGACCCCCAAAGCCACCCCGGGGGTCCCCAAAATCCCCTCTGGGACCCCCAAATTAACCCCCTGGTCCCCCCAGGTGATCGTGGAAAAGGCGCCCAAGGCCCGAATTGGGGACCTGGACAAGAAGAAATACCTGGTGCCCTCGGACCTCACAGGTTTGGGGGGGCCCTGGGGGGCTTTGGGGGGGCCCTGAGAAGGATTTGGGGGGTTCTAGGAGGGATTTGGGGGGGTCCTGGAACTAGTTGTGCAAAAAGAAGCGTTTGGGGTTTTTTTACGGTAAATGATCCCCAAAATCGAGATTAAACCCAAACCCTCAAAATGGGGGTCCAGATTCTCCCCCCCAAGGACCCCCCCCCCCCCCCAAAAAAATTGGGGTCCAGGCCAAAATAAAGCCCAAACCCAGGACAACCCCTCCGAAATTTGGGGTCCAGCCCCTCAGAGCCTTCCCAAGACCCCCAAAATTGGGGATTGCACTTGATGCCCTTGGACCTGGTGGGTTTTGGGGGTCCTGGGGGAGCTCAGGGAGGGTCTGGGTGGTCTCAGGGGGGTCTCTGAGGGTACCCCCCCCCCCAGTGGGGCAGTTTTATTTCCTGATCAGGAAGAGGATCCACCTGAGGGCCGAGGACGCCCTGTTCTTCTTCGTCAACAACGTCATCCCCCCGACCAGCGCCACGATGGGGCAGCTCTACCAGGTGGGCACAAATACTGGGGGGGGTTGGGAGGGTTTTACAGCTTAGGGGGGGGAATTGGGGTCTCCTTGGGGAAGGAGCGTTGATCTTGGGGACCCCCCTCGGACCTTTTGGGGGGAGTTCCCGGTGGTCTCAGGGGGGTTGAGACCCCCCCCAGCCCCCAAGACGATTTTTGGGGGGGGGGTGGGTTCTCACCCCTGGGGACTCCTTTGGGTGGGGGTCTTTGGGGGGTTATTGATCCAAGGGAACCCCCACCCCCAATCTGGGGAGGTGGGGAGTTCTGGGGAGGTTGAAGACCCCCCCTAAACCCCCCCCCTCTCCCTCCCCCACCAGGAACACCACGAGGAGGATTTCTTCCTGTACATCGCCTACAGCGACGAGAGCGTCTACGGAGCCTGACGCCCCCTCCCCAAACCCCCCCAGAAACCCCTCCCCAGCCCCCCCGACCCCCCCCTTTCCAAACCCGCCCCTCCCGCGACCCCTCCCCAAATAAACGAGACGGAGCCGCCTCAGCGCGCCGGAAGTGGGCGTGGTTTGTGGCGCCGCGCACGCGCAGGGGGGATTCCTGGCAGGGCGCGCCAGGGCTGGGGCGGGGCTTGCCGGGCGCACGCGCCCCGAGGGGGGCGGAGCGCGGGGGGGCGGGGGGAGCTTTGCCAGGAGAGGGGCGTGGTCTGAGGGCACGGGAGGGGGGAACGCGCATGCGCCGTCAGTCAGAGCGGGTGGGGTTAAGGGGGGATGGGCGGGGTTCACAGAAGGGGCGGGGGGTCGGGAGGGGGGCGGGGCTCCGGCGGGGGCGGCGCGGAACGAGGCGGCACCGGACGGAGCCACCGCGGAGGGAGAAGGGG